TACTACTATTATACGCCTTGAGTAGCATACTTCTAGTTGCTTGCAGTTAAATCTCTGCAGTAAACATAAGTTGAGATAAACTTGAGTTTCAGCAGTCTTGAGTAATTTCAATCATTAGGCTATTACAAACATTTATCAAAGTAAGTATTCCGTGACTTGACATCGGTATATCAACATCATTGATCTGTAACTACTTTTTCTTCATTATGCAATGGAACATATTTAAACCAGACTCAGCAGTCCTTCATACTGTCGTTTACTTTATTTACCAATATGAATTCCATGCTTGATGCCTGCATATAAATCAGCTTCGACAGTTGTTATATTTTTGCGTGCTAAAAGAAATATCTTATACTATTCTGCGCAGAAGATATTGAGCAACCAGACAATTTATTCTGATGTAACTCCTCACGCAACTGAAGTGTTCGACGTACTCCACTTCTTCATTCCCTGTCCTTAAATGGGGAGTAGTTGCAGATCACTCCCAAAGCATCGTCTTGCATTTTATAAGAGAGAGTGGAGTTTTTTGAGGGGTTGTGGAGATTTGGAATTATTTCAAGTTGTTATTCATCGAAGACTGACATCAGTTGTTCCTCCAACTGATGTCAGTCTTCGATGAATAACAACTTGAGAGAGTGGAGTGCCAAACATACATATATTATCACTTAACGCGTTGTGAAGGCGCTGAATTTTGTGGGCATCTACTTCTAGCATGACAATGCACTCTGCTGATTATTTATTTTTATTTCTTTGTCCTTTGGGTTCCTAGTGGAACACAGGGCATCTGCTTACTCCAAGTCAGTCATCTGCCCTTAAGGCGGTTTTTAAGTCCCAGTTAAGTCGGAGGCATCTGAGAATATGTCTGTGAACTAATCTAGGACGAGGTTTTATGGAGACAGTAACAGTTGACTTTTATAGTGGATACTACAGTTGGTCACGAATTCAGATGATAACTCTCTACATGTCTGCACGAGTTCGAATAGAGAGCTTTGATGATCTCTACATACTTGCCTGGTACAGCGGTCAGACACTGCCACATTAACTTAAAGTCAGCAGAATCAAATGCCACCATTAGGACAGGAAATATCGTTAGGTTTGACCACTGGTAAGTTAGTCCGTGTTCTAGAACCCGTTGGAGGGCGATTATGAGATCGACGTACCCTGTTCAAGTCTGAAACTTGCCTGATTTTCTCAAGCTTGTTGTTCTTTAACTTCGTACGTGCGTCAAATATCTATTACTCCTAGTATCTTGAACAAGATCTTAGTTGAGTTGATCCCCCTAAAGTTGTTACAAGCGAAGTTCTTTCCTTGCATATAAACTGGAATGAATAGTGAAATGGACCAGTTTGAGGTGGTTACGTGTAATTTCCTTATGCCAACTAGTACCTCTATCATTCCATTCAGTAATTTTAACCTCATTTTTCGGAATATTTTAGTGCCATGTCTACTGCTTCCCATTATTTTAACCCCAAAACAGCCTTCTCGAATTCTGTGGAAGGAGGAGGATTGAAATCAATGTCTCATTCATGTTCGGACTGGATGATAGGCAATTAAAGCGCAGCTGTAGGCCAACTGAAATGTGCTTCGGAGTGTTCCACATAAAGTTATGGCTATCTGAACTGAGTGATTATCAGGATATCATTCTTTACGATAGTGGTCTAGCAAACTATTGTCTTCTTCTTTACTAAGCTTAAATATTTGCTGGTTTTTACCTAATAATGACGTCTTCTCCATCTCTCTCGCTTTCGCCACCCACTGCTGCTCGTGTTCATTGAGAAGACTCTCACGCAATGTACATTTAAGTTGCTCTCGTTTTTTATCGCGGCCAGAGACGGCTCGAACCAGTTTTCTAATACTAGTCAGTTCGGGTGAGGTTGCAGAAATCTGGTGACGTTTAATAACATGAATGAAGGTTACCAACTGTCTACCGCTGTTTCTAAACCAGAGTGAATATCATGTCAGATTTCCTCAGGATGAGCAATGCTGTTACTTAGCTATCTTCTTCCCAAATACACACTTGAAACCCATCTGTCAGCCAAGTAAACAGAAATTTCGCTGGAGGGTATCTTGTGTTCATTGATGCATAAGTATATATGTTCCCGTAATGAAGCGTAGTCGGAGTTAAAACAGGTACTCTAGAAAGATGGGCGTCCTTCACCTTTTCCCTCCATCAGTGGTTTATAGAAATACAACCTGTGTCCATCGTCAGTTTGACGTCGGCAGATATCAAGCAAAACTGTTTTTCTTTGTGCTTAAAGTTACTTCTGGCCAGAAACAAGTGATTGTCAGAACAAAACTGCAACATGCGTTCAGCGCTGTCAGATCAGTGACAGGATTCCGCAGATACTTACAAGACCCCTTTAAAACTTGTATGGCAGCACTACTTGAGCGGTGAAAGCGCCTGCTATTATGACTGCTTCTGAACATTTTGATTTCTGTAGCGAAATTGACAGCTCCGGACATAATTCATCCTTGCATCATTTGAATTCTAGTCAGTAGGCGGGTAAACAGAGACTACGAATAGGCATCAGAAATTTTGTCGACCCTTCCTAGTTTTTGTAAATCCATTTAGTCAAACAACGTACAGGTAGCTATTTACTGGTATCCAGTCAGTTGGTTAGCTTCCCGCTCTAGAAACTCATGTTATGCTTACACCAGCAAGTTCAGAAGAACCAACCGTTAAATCTTTGAACGATAGTAAAGTACATTGTGAAGATTCAACGCACTGGCGATGTCAAATGAATAACCATACTTGGGTTTTGTATAAGTATCTCAGAAACATGGCATACATTCATGGTTCGGGATTCCAGAGTTCTGGCAACAAATGCCTGTTTTCTTATTTGTCATAGGGTTCGGACATTGTTAACTCTAATGTTAAATCAATAACCGGGTTTCAAGAGAATGAGAATATTGTTTTGCATGCTTGGATTGTTAACAATGGTCTATTGGTGAGACGTTAAGAAAATTGTAAGTGGCTTAATACTAGTATCAGGGAGTAAAATTTAGGAAGAAGACAAAACTAAGTAACGTAGTTTAGGTTAAATTGGATTTTGTGCACTGCTAGAAGTGTGCTGATAGTTTTTACTTCTCGGTTACTCGTACTGCGAAAGTTGTTTCTGTAAGGTAACTGAAAGAGAAAAAGAGAGAGATTTGCCTGGCCACAGGGTATAGGGAACAACCCCTCACCATAGTACTGCTGGTCATCTATAGGGAACGCAGTACTGCTGTTATACCCCATTCAGTAACAATACGACTTAACCCTCAAACGTCCGTAATAGTAAAGCATTTTGCACTGTGACGATAACTGCTTTCTGTATTGCCATCAGCCAACATGACTTTCTAGTATGCTAGAACCTCAAGAAATAGAAGTTTCAATCAGTTTAGCTCCTTTAGTCATTGTGATATGTAATCCTGATCACCCCGTCAAGGTGACAGCTAGTGGTCGGGACACTACTGTACAAGGGTAATATAGTAAGGTTGATCACTAAAAAGACTTAGGGCAGCCATCCCAAGAATATAGTATACATCAAAGATTAGTATCATGTAGGAAACAAAATTTGTATACTCCTGTAAGCTTTCGCAGTGTTTTATAGTTACATCCCATCGTGTTTATCAGTTTACACGTACTTGTGGTTACACGTGTAGTGGGAAAGCCCATAGATCTAAGCAAGTATGGATAATCAATCAAACTCCACAATCTTTACAAAAACAAATAGACTAATCTTAACGACCTAGACAATAAACATCTTTATCCGTAGCTAAACATATTACTGCAGAATGCCAAATGTTTGATTCTTACACATCTGTTCAACCTATCTATAGAAATTATTTGCAGCGCATACTTAGGTGTGCTGAGGGTCTAGGTATAAGGATATTTAGACTTCTTTTATGCATTCAAAAACAATTTATTATTACGTAATCCATCCTTACTGTCAGGATGAATTAAGCATTATTATTCAGCTTTAATCTTTTTCCTAAGCTAACAAAGTGAACCTCTACTATTCAAGTTTATCAGTCAACTCATTTTTTGTTTATATTAATAAATACGCAAGACAGTTGTATGTGATCGAATTATTGGGAAAGTATTGAGCGAATGCATAACACGTTTCAGACAAACCGTGTCTTATTCTGTAGAAAACTCTTCAAGCTGACTAACTGCTTTAAGTTTCTCAATTAACAAACAAGTATTTTTGGCTGCTTGAATAGTTCAGAATAAATTTGTATTCCAAACAGTTGATCTTATGTCCGATTTATCTTGAAATTCACTCATAAATGCCAACATAGTTATTGTTTCCGACCAAAATAAATGTTCATTAGTCAGCTGTACATCCAAAAAGGCCTTTCACCTTTGACCTGAGATACAACCAATGCCATCTCTTATGTAGTGTGTGCAGGTTAAAATATCTTATTCACTTGAACAAGTTATAACGGTAACTTTCATCGGAATCTAAGTAGTTTTGACAAAGTCATTAGACTTTGTCTACAGAGATTTGCACAATCATGTAGTATGACCAAGTCTCGCATAATATGGATGACTCACTGCATAGTGAATCAGCCAGCATATAACTTCTGAGATGTAATGAAAAGGTAAAAATTGCTTATCTCGGGTTACTTTTTATTAAGAACTGAAACCCACTAGAGAACTTGTGCGAAGTGGACAATAGTTCATTTTCCTCTCAGACTTCTGAGTAGTATGTGCTGTGACCTTGTTTGAATTAAGTTACAGTGGATTTGCAATGCGTCCTTGTTATCAATGGATTTAAGTCAGACTTTGACTACTGATTATGAGAATTGAGATGGTAGAGAAGATTTTTAGCTGGGGATAAAGATGATGATTGTTTATTGCTCTCCAATGTTTGCCTGTGAACGTCTCAACACTAGTGTCAGCATTCACTTCATAACCCGGTGACGTCCACATTCACTTAAAGTTCTGAAAATACCGAACAATTATTGTTATACAGGTTTTTAAAGTTGTAAAATGTCGAAATCAAGGTACTTTGATGAATTATAACAGTAGTAGTAGTAATAGTAGTAGTAGTAGTAGTAGTAGTAGTAGTAGTAGTAGTAATAGTAGTAGTAGTAATAGTAGTAGTAGTAGTAGTAGTAGTAGTAATAGTAGTAGTAGTAGTAGTAGTAGTAGTAGTAGTAGTAGTAGTAGTAGTAGTAGTAGTAGTAGTAGTAGTAGTAGTAGTAGTAGTAGTAGTAGTAGTAGTAGTAGTAGTAGTAGAAAGAAAGAAAGAAAGAAAGTAACCGATGTCAATAATAGGCACTTTAGGCGCTTATAAAACTAAAAAAATCCTGCAAGATAACTGAACTTGATAATATGGATAAAACTAGATACACTTATCAAGTTATGAACGGAAACAAAACCATTCAGTGAAGATAAATCCTTTCAAAAGTTTCTATTCCTGGAACTGTATAGTTGCACATTTATACAATTTTTATTAGCGTATGTTACATTCGATAGCTAATATTGACCTTATAAACAAGATCACAAACGAAATGAAATTTTGCAATCAGAATGTCATTCTTATCAAAATGATCCTTTAGTGTTATTGCTTGTATTACACCGTCGTTGATTGGACCGAATTGATCAGTCTCTGTTGGCATATGGGCTCCTATGCGGATGCCTCGATATTGCCTGTCTTTTAACTATGTTTAGTAATGATGGGCAGTGTCCAGCAGTGGAATCCAGGATGCGCATTTCATCTTATTTGGGACTCGTCAGCTGGATGTACCTGCTTCCCAGTGAGTATTGTTCCCACGGGAACTCAGAGCCGGGAGCGATCGCTTCAAACGCCAGCGCGTTATCCACTACACCACCGAGCCACGAGTTCCAAATAGGACGAAATGAGCATCCTGGATTCCACTGCTAGCCACTGCCCATCATTAATAAAATGATCCTGTCTAGATCACCTATATACATTTTTGTTTCGAATTAAGAATTCTTCACTATGTTGGATGCAAAAAACAATCTTGATGCCAGATCTCTGTTCCGTCAGTCCAAGTTCCACTTACATTCAAACCTCCTGAATTAGTTAATCAAAGAACTGAATTTTATTACTCCGGGAGATGAATATTTACTTTGACTTTTCTTTTGGGTGAATCTCCTAATAGTTTAGTAAATGCTCAGTTTACCAGTTGATGTCAATCATCAGGAATAGATAAAATACCTATTGTTGTGAATCACTAGTAAATGATGAGTTCTGCTCATTGAAACCCAGTATTCTCGAAGTCCAGGTAGTTTTTTAAAAACCCGAAAAACAGGAAAAAGGAAACGTTCTCTCTATGCAGTTATTAAGCACACTGGATCTATGAACTTTACTATTATGATTGGGTCAATACTAAGGCGTTTTGTTTGCCGGGATATTCTGTAAGATAGTTCTTATGTGTGAAACTATTTTTATAGACTGGCAGAAAATAAAACATAAATGAATTTATGATGCACCCACATATAATAACCAATAAAAGTATGAGCTGTTAAAAGTGGAATACAAAGATCAGATAGTCACATTTGTACTGCATTACATAAATATGCATGTGGTCACATAAATAACATGTAAACATTAGATACAAACATGTCGATAACAGGTTTTTCAAACCTCTTTCTCTTTACTGAATTCAGACTTATTATGGAAACCGTACAAATGAAATGTAAAGTATTTTAGAAAAGATAATATGATTGAGTGTCTTCGCTTCTTACCTTTCATCATTCTCACAGAAACCAAGGTATTATTAAGAAGGAATGTGATAACGAACTCTGTTGTAAGCTACGGAAATTGAGACATTATTATTATCATTATCAATATTTGTCCCTTGGGTTCCTAGTCGAACACACAGATTCAGTAGCACGTCTCCATTCCACTCTCTTCTCTCCAGTCTACAAAACTTGGCGCCAACACTACCCATAAGCTCTCATTTCTAACTCACACCACCTCCTCCATGTCATCATCGCCTCGCACACCAAACTCGTCCTTTCCCATCTACCTCCCACTCGAAGACCTGACCTGAAGAGTGATCTCCACAATCAGCCCTATCAGTGTATGCCCAATCCATCTCCACATTCCTCTGCACATTCGCTGTTGGGTGATGGCTACTTGCTTGATTCGTTGCCAACCAACCACAGTTCCTTCTTCCTAATTCTTATTATTCTGGCCATCTGATCTTCAGTGTCAGTATCGAGTGCACGCAGGGGACAGCTGTTGATCAATGTCTGCAGTCTGTTGCAAATGCTTTCCGTGATGCGCCAACTTTCCCAACCATCACATAGAAGCACTGACTGACATTGACTGACATTGGTGTTCAAAATCCAAATGTTGTTCACACTTCATGCTGAGTGCAAAACATCTCCACACTGATTACAGATTAATGCAGGATGGCCTGTTTTGCTGTATTCCCAATCCTGTCTTTGTCATCCTCAACTGTGCTGCCACCTGTAGTTTAAACGAAGCTGAATTGCCTAGGTAGGTGAAAGAGACTACTTCGTTTAGGTTTCTCCGGTTGGTTGTGATTGGAGGTGGTTGTTGTTGACTGAGTATCTTCATCACCTCTGTCTTCCCTATCTTCACTTGAAGGAAATCCTGTCTTCCTTCCTTACTTACTTACTTACTTCCTTACTTCCTTGACTCGCCTCACCTCACCTCACCTCTTCTGCCTACTTGTTGGTTCTCGCTTGTCGATCTTCGAGTTTGTGCGACACGACATTAGACACAGGTCATCATCGCTGGCCAAATCCAAGTCGTCTTCTCGAGTCTTTTCATCACTCCAGCCAGCCTATACCCATCCTCTCACAGCTCCTCACAGTTATCTGTTGCATGATCCAGTAGAGTTCAGTCGACCACAATCAGGAAGATCATCGGTGATAGTGGGTGACAGCCTTGTCCTACTCCTGTCCTCACTTCACAGGCGTCACTCAGCTTCCCATTGTGAATCACTCGGCATGTGGCGTTTTCATATAACTGTCGAATGAGGTTGATAAGGGTTAATACAGTGGCACTAGGACCGTAGTGTTGAAGCATCTGTGTGGCAAATTACTTGTCTGTCGACGCCTCGATAGAAGGTCATTTTCAAAGTGGATGAAGTTGAAGTGGAGTTGAGTGGACTACCATTCTGTGCTCTGTTCTATGATGATGCGTGGCGTGGCGTTGCAATTTGATCGTCACATGAGTGGTACTTCCTGAGGCTAGCTAGCTGGCCAGCCAGCCAGCCATTTGTGATCGTAATTTTGAATGCAGAGCATCTTTCAGTCTCTCCAGGATGATGTGGCATAATATTTTGCTTGGGGTTGACAGGGACAGGTGCATGAACCCACCTCACCTATTGTTCTTGGAAAGACGTAGGTCTCCCTTCTTTGGGAGTTTGACAAGATAGTCGTTCTTCCAATCGACCAGCAGGTACCTTTCCTTCCTTCCTACCTTCTTCCTTGCAAACATTCTGCAATAGTGGTGTGGTGTGAGCAAGTCCGCTGTTGTCCCTGAGTCTGTTTTCAGTGGATCTGGAGGAATTCCACCTGGTCCTGCCGCTTTCGCGTATTTCAGCAGCTTTATGGTATTCAGCACACCAACGTTTGTTGCAGGGCTTGTGTTCATTTGTAGTTCTGTGGCTGCTGGGGGTATTTCTAGACGAATAGCAGGTGGTGGTGTTCTATGCAAGAGCTTCTTGAAGTGGTCAGTCCATCGCTTCCTTTGTTTCTTCTCTTTCCTAACTAGCTTTCCTTCAATATCTCTCACTGGTCTCGTCTCAGTTGATCTCTTCCCTCACAGATGGTAACCTAGTTATCTGAAGTAATGTTATCAGGACTCTGTTATCAGCAGCCTGTCCTGATTCACTTGCAAGTGTGTTGTAGAAGTGTCTTTTGTCTTTCCGAGCACTCTTCTTCACTTCCTTGTCCAGTGTGGTGTTTATACATTGTGTTCAGTTCCTCGTTTCCTTGTTCATCCCTGCACTGCACTGCACTGTACTGCACTGCACCGATTCATCCTCTGATTCAACATCCTCCTCTCCCTCCTCCATCACCTTCCATGTGTTCATCAACATCCATTCCTCGTCTTCTTTATTCTTACTTCCTAACACGCTTATGCAGGTTTCCCTCCACATCTCTTTCACAGACTTCCAGTGTTCCTCCACTCAGGTTTCATCAGGGATGATGATGATGCTCAATGTCTCCCCTTTTGTCTAGATGGCTTACATGGAGATGTTTCTTGTAGTTTCGTGCTTCAGTTTCTGTTCTGGATGCTCAACTCGAACCATGGTCTATCACCAGCTTCCTTGAATTCAAGGCTTTCAACTTGATTTTGAAGAAAGGTTGCTTGAATTAGATGGTGAGTGGTGTGAACCTACATCTGCTACCCTTCTTCATCTGATCTTGTGTCCAGTAGGCTGCATCCCCACTTTCTTCATTTTCAGATGAAGTCGATCTGATTTCTAGTGTAGTGTGTCTTGGTGTCTGGTGAAATCAAATCCATGTCGCTCGCTTTGTCAATATCCTTATGCTTGTTTGTACACACTGCCTGACTCCAATCCCCAAATCGTTGAATGAGCAGAAATCTGCAAACAATTCTCCATTCTCATTCATCACTTCACCGAGTGCCTCTCCACCCATGATCACTTCTCTTCCTGTGTTGTCCGCTCCTCCCAGTTTGGCATTCATGTCGCCTCACACATTACAATTTCGATATCACCAACTGGCGTCTTGTCCAGTACTGATTGCAGTTGTCTGTAGAATTCCTCCTTCTTCGCTTCTCTTCCTGATCTGCATTATTTGTGGGTGCATAGCGTAGCATTGTATGATAGTGACTTTCCTTCTTCTTGAGTTGAATCTTGCTGTCATGATCCTGATCGCTGGACAGATTGGTGTCCTCTGTATGAGAGAGAGCCGTTGATGCTCTTCAAAGGGACATCATGATAGCCACTCCACAACTCAGTGTGGTATGTTCGTGGTTGTTGTCTGGGTGACAATATCGAAGTAGATTATTGACTCGTCTCCAGTTGACAGTTTCGAGAGTCCACTTCCATTCCACCTGCCTTCTCAGATTCCTAGCCCAGCACTTCTTTGCTATACCTTCTCATCTCCTTTGCAATCTGGACAGCCTTACTAGGTTCAGACATGGTGTGGACATTCCATGTCCTCATCCTTACTCTCGCTTTTATCGAGAGAAGAGAAGACATATTGGTGGATTGGCTTCCTGAGAGTTTTCACCAACTGTGGTCATTTCGTCTCTCTGATTCCAGCTAGGAATAAGTTTGTTTTTATGTTTTATATTTTGTTTTTGCTCTGAAGTTTATT